AGACAATTAATAAATTACTTTTCTTCTGTAAAGAGGCATTTCTAATTCAGGGGGAAATCACAACAAGAACCTGCGAGATACCATGGCTTTCCCATAGTGTGCATATAGGGAAGCGGTTTGCCTACAGACCCTGGCTAATGAAGCTGTAATTACTCTGAAAATTAAACCTGGGGGTAATGCTTTCTCACCTGGGGAGCTGTCCCGGCCGGGGCTCCTCCGGCCCGCGGCTTTCCATCCCGGTATCCATCTTCCAGCTGGTTTCCTACAAGGGCAAAGTGCAGCAATTCCGTCTGGGTACATTTTCGCCTCAAAGGGCGTCTGAATGTCAGCCCCAAGAGGCTGCAGGTTGGCAGACGATGGCATTAAAACTTCCCCAAAGTATCCCCGTCCCCTCTTTTTAGGCGTTAATCGGAGCGGGCTTTGTTCCGGTGCGAGATCCCTCTCGCTTTCCCGAACGCTTCGCCTCCGCTCCCAAAATATTCAATTGTGGACACCGTTAGCGGGAGCTCGGCTTGAAATTAAAACCTATTTTTTTTTGGCGTAAGAAAATCAAAAGCTGTCACTCTCACGGGGATGTCTCATTGCTGGGACGACGTTAAGGTTTGAGTTCTTCGCCCTTTGGTGCGAGACTCGTGGATTAGCCGGGGCGTCGCTGCGTTTTGACGCTGGGTAACGAGAATCCCTTCATCCGCGAGTGCCACGTTAATGAGAAACTGGTCTCTAATTGCTTTTTGCTCTTTTCTAGGTTATGGAGACTGGAACTCTGGGACAAACAGAGGCAAGTACAGTAAAAAAATGGAGTAATTATTACCTTCCACTTCAGAGCAGTTTCCCGAGCCTGAGGGAGGCACGCTGAGCTCGGCGACGAGCGACTGCCCTCCCCACCGCAGCACGAACCCCGTGTAGCTCCTCATTGCCCCTCCCGCGCGACGCTTTTCTTCTTTTATTTTCAAAATTCACGTTGAAGCTGACAGAAAACTTTGTCGCCATCAACAGTTGCACGGCTAAACTGTTCTAGGCAAAATATTTGGGGTTTGGAGTTGTTGTCCACCAAAAAAAAAAACCCAAACCCTTTCTACTACTTGGAAAATCCGAATGAAGTCAGCGCAGGCGATAATGTAAATCAAGGCTGGGGGTGACAGCAGAAATACGAACTCCCTCTCCCGCGTGTGCCAGCAGCCAAATAAAATATCGGGGAGGAGAAAAATCTAAATTTTAAGCCTCCGCAGGCTTTTAATTGGCTTTGTGTTATTTCTCTGGAGTTTTTTTTTTTCTGTTTATAGCTTCTGGTTTCTTCTGTAGAAGCCGCTCAGGCACGTTCTGATTTAAAATAGGTGGGAAATGCCAGGCAGGAGGCGTTTTTTTCCAGCACTTGGCTGTGCTCTCTTTGGAGAGGACAGGTACGTGCTATCGCTAGGAAGCAGCTCTGCCCAGAGGGACCTGGGGGTCCTGGTGGCCGACAAGGTGGCCATGAGCCAGCAGGGTGCCCTGGTGGCCAAGGGCGTCCTGGGGCGCATCAAGAGGAGCGTGGCCAGCAGGGCGAGGGAGGTTCTCCTCCCCCTCTGCTCTGCCCCAATGAGACCCCACCTGGAGCTCTGCGCCCAGTGCTGGGCTCCCCAGGTCAAGGAGGAGGAGGAGCTACTGGGGAGAGCCCAGAGGAGGGCCACCACGCTGATGGGGGGCCTGGGGAGTCT